TATATATATATATATATATATATATATATATATATATATATATATATTATTAATCTGAAATAAAAATAACTTTTTTTTTTGTTATTGTTTATTTTTTCCACATCAGCCTCTGTGGATAATGGCTGCTAACTTGTTAGCCGTAAGCTGGGCACACCATATTAGCTAAACCATTGATCAAAAGAGCAATTTTTAAAAATCTAAATATATCACAACTACTACTTCTACATTAGCCATTGTGGCTAACAGCATGGTAGCCACCTGTTAGCTCAGCAACTGATCTAAAAAGCAAACCAAAAAAAGTCTGGACTTAATTTGTGACATCTTCTTCTTTAGCTGCTGTGGCTAATAGCTGCTAACCTGTTAGCCACCTGTTATCTACACCTCATCAGCTCAACAAATGATCTAAATAACAAAAATATTTCTAGACCTAAAACTGAAAAGTTTTTCTTATTCTAGAATAGCCACTGTGGCTAACAGTCCACACTCTGTTAGCTTTACTAACAGTTGATATAAAGAACACAAATATCTCTAGACCTAAATAAATCACATCTTATAATTATTTTATTTTAGCCACTGTTACTACAGTAATAGCTGCTAGCCTGTCGGCTACACCCCATAAATCTAAGGACTTATCTTTAGACCTTAATATGTGATAACTTTTTACACATGATGAGTCACTTTGGTTAACGACTGCTAACATGTTAGCCACCTGTTAGCTACACCACATTAGCTTAGCAACTCTTTTAAGGAACAAAAATATTTCTAGACCTAAATAAATTAAACTGCATCTTAGCCCTTGTGACTAACAGGTGCTAACCGGTTAGCTACACCCTCTTAGCTCAATAACTGATCCAAAGAAGAAAACTGATTTATTGACCTAAATAAGTCACTGGTAACTCCATGTTTGTGAAAAATTACAGTATATTAGCGGCTCTGTGACTTCGCACCCTCACCTGGCGGGGTAGCTGTTTGTCCAGGCGCTGCTCATCGTGTCCATGTCTGCAGGGTTGAAGTCCGGCTGGCCTTCATCGAGCTTCGTTAAGTGCCACGAATGAGGACGAGACGCCGGCTCAGTGCGTCTGTGGAGGTAAAACAGAACGAGGGGTTCAGATTGCGTACAATAATTACTGGTAAAAACACGACAACTCAATTTTCATTCGTTTATTACTTCAAACAACAGTTAAAAAAGAAAGCCAGACAGGTTAGGTTGGTCGATAGACTTATTTTAGAGATGAAACTGTGTTTTTGTTTATAATATTTATCCTTCTGACATCAGCACCGTTTAGTTTTGAAAGTGTTATCTGAGCAGTTGTGATAACAGAGGCTGGTTAGCGTGGCGGTTGCAGTAATCTCCCCCTGACCATCGTCATATTTGACATGTCCCGTTTCTCAGAGATAAACAGGAAATGATTTAATCTCACCGAGTTTGGAGACAGAAGACATGAAAGTATCTAAACCTCTGGGACCTGAGTAATGACAGGATGTGACTGGAATACATCAGAACATAATCAACACTGGTATACTTACACAAATATTCACCTCGGGGCGGAACGGTCAGAGATATAAACCAGTAAACCAGTAAACCAGTAAACCGGTAAATACAAAATAATAAAAAATACATAATTTTGTCCTCATATGGTTCTGTGCTTACAAAATATGAATGCATTCTCCAAGATAATCTAAAAAAATTAAAAGCATGAAACATTACAAAGTCCCATCTTGAATTAAAAAAACATCAAATGTTAGCAGAGGTGGCGCTAACAAGGTAGCCTAGGGGGGCTCACCCCTCCTGCTACAATCTGCCGGGACCCCCAGTTACCTCCCCAATTTTAAGGGTCAAATGTAAACATATGAGGTATAAAAATAGTAAAATTTCAGATAAAAATATTTGTTGAAAAACTGGACGGGTTGTATTGAAACTTTCAGGAAATAATCACTAAATGTATTTCTACGACTGATTAACTTTTGGAGCCAATCCAATTCAAGATAGCTACCATAGCTAACGGACCATGTAATACCATATAAACTGACAGAATTTAGTCCGTTTTACAGATACTGAGAGTTTGCCGTGATAGTAGCTGAGAGTCATCCACAAACTATACACCAAGTGCTACTCACTGCGTGACGTCTTTGGTTTGATTTCTAGATCCACATTTGAGTCTGAGGCACTGAAATAATTTCTAAATGTTAAATCTGTGACTCAAAAACTCAAAGTTTCAGACGCAAGTCGAGCAACAAAAGTTGGTTCAAAGCTGTTGATGGTGTTTGAAAATATTTTAGCTCATGATAAAATTAAAGGAAATGTGAAGTTCACAGTAGTTTTATCTATAACGTCTACACATTATTGATGATTTGTGGTCAAAGTCCTAAAGTTACGTCAGCGTTAAACATCAAACTCAAGTCAAGGTTACGTCCAAGTCGTCATTTCCAGCCATTACATAAAACATTTTTAAAAGTAAATGGTCTGTACTTAATTAGCACTTTCTATCTTATCCAGACACTCAATGCTCTTTACAACAATCTGTCCTCATTTACCCGTTCATACAGCTCTATACTAGATCTCTACAAAGACTAACCAGAGCTTTATCACATTCATACACCGAAGAGGAGGCAATGAGGGGTTCAGTGTCTTTCCCAGGGACACTTCAGCACGTGACTGCTGGTGGAATCGAACCCCCAACTCTTCCATTGGAGGACGACCGCTCTAACCGCTCAGCCACAGCCGCCCCCTTCAAGGTTGTAACAAAAAAAGTTTTATACTTTTAGTTTTCTCTGTAAGAACTACACAACTTTATTCCTAACAATCCATTTTCTGCTAATATTCTTCACGCAACGATAATTAAACACAAAACTTTTTAAAAACCGTAAACTTGAATAATTTGTGACTAATACCCGGTGGTCACCCCAAACTTAAACCTGGTCTTGTGTTCCAAAACAACCCCCGTCCTTCTCTTTGGCGTTGGGCGGTTTTACCTGGAGGTGAACCTGAGGACTCTGGAGATGAGGCCGGTGGCCAGGTTGTTTACGCTGGACTCTGACGGCGCTCGACAAAGAACCCCGCTGGACCGACCCAGCTCCAGTTTTTTCTGCTTCTTCCTCAGCTTCGGGCGGTAAAACACCTCCAGCAGTTCCATCGCTGCAAAACGCAACCCAACTTCTTTTATATTCTTTTCTGGCGCTCTCTCCTCGATCTATTCTAGATTTTTTTTGTATCCTCTTCTCCTTTAGGAAGTCCCAGAAAGATCCATTTCCACACCCTTTAGTCTGAGATCCTGTGAGATCTTTGGTGTGTTTCCATCTACTGGTACTATAAGTTTCCCACCAAACTAATATTTCTCAGCTGCGTTGAATCTTTTCTACCAAACAATCTGCTGACATTTAAGAGTCTGGTGAGTCTCCAGTGACGATTTGCACCGCAGAATAAAATAAACCCTGATCTACGTTAGTTGGGATCTACTCCTTGTTGCCATCCAAACTCCGGTGAAAAGCGTCACCAGAGCGTCTTCTCTCTGCCACTCTCAGATATGCCTCTTCATCCTCGGGCTGAAACTTTGTCCACTCCCCCCACTCCTCAAGTCGCCAGCTCGTTAAACAATTTGTGCAATCAAGTGTCATTAAACCACCGTACGATTAAATCACGAAGTAAACAGCCTCAGCGTCGGCACAGCTCGGCCTGAGAAGCCGTCGTTGGTATGTGAGCGAGAGACACCGAGGAAAAAGAGAAGAGGAGGAAAGGCGAGACGTTATGAAGACAGGGAGGGAGGGAGATAAAGGTAGTTAGGGTGGAGATAGAGAGGAATGAGGCAACGATTGGGCTGATAGAGGGATGGGAGAAAGAGGGGAAATGGTGAGACAGATAAGTGGGGCGAGAGGAACGGAGCTTTCCTGTTTTACAGCGAAGGAATGGAAACTCGGAACAACTTTTGAACCGAAGCGAGAAGAAAGTCAAAGGGAGGATGGAGGAGGACTAGGGAGGACAGATGAACAGAAGGAAAACAAGCGTTTATTTTGCTTCAGTGTGGTTTTAAAACCGTGGGGAAGGTCTCATGATGCAGCATGTGGTCCAGCAGCAAACAATAAACTGATTATTATTGACCGCTGTGAGATAATCACCACCAGAGAAACAACATCCGGGGACAAAAGACCACTGATAAGACTTTAGTAACTTCCCTGAAAACCTAAAAATGACCTTAGATCCAAGAGGCAAACATAAAACTACAGGTTTAGGTTGATTAAATTAAATTACTCAATTATAAAGTATTATCCACTTATGGCACTCAGTTCTGTCTTGAACTACCAAATTATGAAGCTCCTGCCACAAAAGTACAAAAAAGTGTCACCTTTCTTCTCTAAAGACCAGTAATAATTTGGGACTTGGGATAATCAAAGGTAAAAACTAGAGCACCTCATACACCTATTAAACTATTATACAGCAATCTATAGTAATGACCCGGACAAGCAAAGACCTTGTATAACCTTTGACCTTGATCTTGGAGCCGGGTTGATGAAAAGTGCACGTCAATGGGCGTATAAAAATAAAGTTTTGACGTTTAGAAGAAGTTTAAAGTTTCTTTCTGGGTGAAAGACGACAAAAATACATAAACTTTGAGGTATAAACTGGTTACGAAGACACAAGACAGTGGTGAGACCAGCTTTGTCTTGTGGTTTGGAGACAGTGGCATTGACAAGGAGACCGAACTGGAAGTGTCAGAAATGAAGATGTTGAGGTTCTCCTTAGGAGAGAAGGATGGAGAAGATCAGGAATGAGCTCATCAGAGGTACAGCACAGGTTGAACAACTGGGAGATAAAGTTAGAGAGGACACACTGAGATGGTTTGGACATGTCCAGAGGAGGGACAGTGGTTTGGACATGTCCAGAGGAGGGACAGTGGTTTGGACATGTCCAGAGGAGGGACAGTGGGTATATTAGTAGAAGGATGTTAGAAAGGAAAAAGACAAAGAGGAGACATCTGGATGCAGTTAGAGAGGACATGGACGTTGTTGGACAGAGGACAGGTGGAGGATCACATGAATAAACTGGTTAAGAAGGCTGAAGACTGTGCAGGAAAAGTCTCCTAAAATTATCAAACTTAAACTCTGATTGTGTAAAAACTGTTGAAGCTATTAAAGCACCAGTTAAGTCGAGTAACGTCCAACTTTCAGGGACCAGTTTGAATTAATTTTGCCAGAATCCCAGTGATGTCTATGGGCAAAGTCTTCATTTGTTTAATAGTGAACGTTATCTATGTTGCACGGTGCAGCGCTACCAAGTCATAACGTGTTATTCCGAACCAAGCTGCGCGTTATGATGCATTTTTTTCCACAGATCTGAGAAGACTGAATCAAAAACGATGACAGAAATTGAATAATAGCTGAATGGCAACAGAAGGTAGCGTCTCCCTGGACTGTGATTGTTGGAGACTAGTTGGTGACTCAAGTTTGTGAGAAACTGGAAAAAGTTTTTGTCGCCATTTTACTGAATTCTGCGTGTTTGTGACCAAACAACCAGCGGGCCGTGAGTTCAGTTTGAACATGTTTTAAATTTAAGATGAACCCTTACTAACCCCAAGTTATGTCTCAGTACAGTCTCAGAGTTGTTGCAGGGGTCTTAAACACAACTCAGATCAGTTTCAGTATGTTTTAAAGTGCTACAGATGGTTTTCTGACACCTTAATGGCGTTGGTACTGGAGCTCTCCTCTGACAGAAGACATGCGATGTTACAACCCTGAATGGCCAGGTCTAAGAATCACCTTGATTAATAATAATAATTAGGCGTGGGGAACCACGTGAGGAAACTGAGAACCTCCACAAATGTTTCGAGACCTAGTCGAGACCCCTCACAGTTGTAGCTCGTTGAGATACTGGCTTAAAGCCGCTTTAATATTTTTAAATTGCCACCCCAATTATCTTTGATAACAACGTGCTTCATAAACATTTAAGTGAACTCCTGACGTACCTGTCACTATTCTTAGTAATGCCACTGATAGAGTGTGTGGGTACAAAATGAATAAAAACATGGGTACGAAGCAACCCGAATTTTTTTTTTAACCTTTATTTTTCCAGGTGAAATGTTTTGAGAACCAGTGCACCATTACGAACATGATCGGTCACCGGCGGCGGACCGGAATCAGCTCGCCAAACCAATTATACCAGGACCCGTTTCTGGGATGGTGCCCATGTTGGTGCCATATGAACAGAAGCCTCATCTGTTGCCGTGGGAAACTGCTCCAGCCCAGAATAATCTCTTCCTCTGATCTGGCCCAGAAAATAAAACTGGAGACAGATAGGCAGAGGGTGACTTGGTTGCCCTGGTTCTGGTACCACTGTTGGCTCGCCAATAAGATCCAGGTTAAACTCGAGGTGCGTTATTCTGCAGGTAACCACGGCAACGGGATGGATGCTTCAGGCACTTTTTACAGTAAAACAACTAAAATTGTTATAAACTCTTTAGTTATTGTAGGGATTAGACGGTGTGTGTTTGTTTATGTCATATTTGGGGACTTGAACCCACTTACACACCCGTCATTTGAGGACACCTGGGCAACTGGGGACCAAAACCACGGTCCACAATTAGAAAAGCTTATATTGACATTCAGCATGCTCCAAAATGCATTTTAATCCAAAAATATCAAATGTGTGTGTGTGTGTGTGTGTGCTTTGTGAAACAATGACATGATGTAGTTTTTGAGGAATGTGGTGAGTCAACCAAAGAAACACGTAAGAAGGGAACACAAGAGGACTGAAAAAGGAAAGAAAAAAGACGAGGACAGTTCAGCCGAGGAACAAAGTGGAGAAACAGGGGAGGATCAGAAAAAAGGAACAAGGAGTCAGAGAACAAGCGGTATGTTTATAAAACCAACTATCTGTCCTCTTCAGATTAACACCCAGCCTCACGGGACTCTGATGGCCCACTTCCTGATTCTGGATGGCCAATGGGACGTCGGTGTTCCTGGCCTCCTCGGCTTGACGGTATCTGATAACAGCCGAGGGTTCGGGGAGCAGTGGGACATGGAGCCGCTCTGCCTGTTTATCTGACGGCGGAGAACAGAATAATGACTCGTTCCTGTTGAAACGTCCTCCTACAACGTGTCAAATGGTGCACATGGATGCACGGAGGCGCCCCCTGGAGGTCGTGATGTTCACTACAAACACAATGCCTCCTGGAGCTCCTTATTAGGATGAAAAGAGCTGCGGCGGGTGTTGGTATTTATAGACAGTGTGCAGACAGGGAAACATCCAGGTATTTCACACATTAATACAAGATAGCAAAGACAGCACACGCACATAAAAAACCTTCATCGTCTCTATGATCTTTAGGTTTGCTTCCACGCCCCTAGACTGTTGTCATCAGTTCTTCAGATTTTCTTGAGGTCATTAAAAGACTTTAGCTCATTTTCAGAGCAGAAATCTGAGAAAACTGGACAAGTGGAGGACAAAAAAAGAATGGCGAGGCCTTTAAAAAAACCTGCCTCCAGCAGATTAACGAGGACTGAAAGTTAGAAACGGAAACCATCCGTCAAACCCTGACCCAGATCAATGGTGTGACAGGTTTTCAGCTCTTCAGGGACTGTTTTCTGCTGATTTGCTGAGCAAGTTTACTCCAGGGTGTTGGGAGAGAGACTGACCGATTGTCGAACCTCAGATTCAGAATCAGTATGGCTTCCGTTCTGGTCGTGGACCAGTGGACCAGATCTTCACCCTTGTAGAGTTGCTAAGAGGGTCAAGGGAGCCTCTCCAGTCTACATGTGCTTTGTGGACCAGGAGGTTTATGACCGTGTTCCTCGAGGCATGCTGTGGGAGTATGGGATGCCAGGGTTGCTTTAAAGAGCTATCCAGTCCCCGTAGAACCAGAGCAGCAGCTGTATCCGCATTCTTGGCACAAAGTCAAGCGCATTCCCATTTGCTGGTTGGACTCTGCCAGGGCTGTCCCTCGTCTCTGATCTGGTTTTGTAGTCTTCAAGGACATGGATCTCGAGATGCAGATGTGGAGAGGATGGGGTCTGGTTTGGGAACCTCAGGGTCACATCTCTGCTTTATGCGGACGATGTGGTTTTGTGGGGTTCTTCAGGCCAAGACCTTCAGCCTGCACTGTGTCAGTTTGCAGCAGAGTGTGAAGCAGCTGGAATGAGAGTCAGCTCCTCTAAGTCTGAGGCCATGGCTCTCGACTAGAAATGGGTGGAATGTCAACTCTGGGTCAGGGAAAAGAGTTTGCCTCAGGTGGAGGAGTTCAGGTATTTGGGCGTCTTGTTGACGAGTGATGGTAAGATGGAGCGGGAGATAGATTGGGGCCCCGTCCTCAGTAATGAGGGCATTGCTTCGGTCTGTCATAGTGAAGAGAGAGCTGAGTCAAAAGGCAAAGCTCTCGATTTACTGGTTGGTCTACGTTCCAACCCTCACCTGTGGTCATGAGGTTTGGATCATGACTGAAAGAACGAGATCCAGGATACAAGCGGCTGAAATGGGTTTTCTTCACAGGGTGTCCGGGCTCAACCTTAGAGATAGGGAGAGGGGCTCCATGATCCAGGGAGAGCTTGGAGTAGAGCCGCTGCTCCTCCGCATTGAAAGGAGTCATTTGAGGTAGATCAGACATTTGATTAGGGTTTCTCCTGGACGCCTCCCTTTAGAGGTTTTCTGAGCATGTCCCACAAACGCTGGAGAGATTGTGTATTTTCTCTGGCTTGGGAACGCCTCGAGGTCCCCCAGATTGAGCTGAAAAGTGTCACTGGGGACAGGGATGTCTGGGCTTTTCTCCTGGATTTGTTGCCTCCATGACCGAATTAGGGATAAGTGGTAGAAGATAGATGGATACTGAGTGGTGCAACAACCGACATTGGAATAATTTGTGCTTGTGACAAGACGCTCCAAACGATGAGCCACAATGCAATAAAGATGATCTGTTCTGTTGGTTTTTGTCCACCATCACAGAGTGAAGAGGAGGAATTAAAAATACCCTCCGTCCGTCCATCTGTACACGCACATCTAGGTGCAAGACGGTTCCTTTGGAAAATTAGGTTGCCACGTCAAAATCCAAGATGGCTGCCGCCATATATGTATGTAAACCTGCCACTCTATTCACTTGGAAAAACTATATTTTTTCATTTTTATATTGCTTAAAAGTAAGTTCCTCAAATGACTGGGGTGGCCAATTATTCATCTGTTGTGGACAAGGACACCATTGGCCACCCCCTGGCTCCACCGCTGCTCCTGGCAGTGGATTAAAATTACTCCCTTCTCTCCAGGATTTAAAAGTTTTGAATAAAATACGGGTGCATTTGCTGCTTATAAAGCTCAGCAGACAGCGTTTTTTATAGAACCGGAGGAAACGAGCCAGTACCCGTCAATAAAAGTCCAACAGGACGCAGCAGGAAATCAGAGACAGGAAGGAAGCGCAGACAGGACGTCCTAGAGGTGGAAAAACTTACAGCTGACAACTCTGCTTCCTGTTCCAACCTGACAGATAAACACCAGGATTTATTGAGACTGGAAAGAAAACATGGGAAATCCCTGCCAGCGACACAAAGACACCGTTCACCATCCAACGCCTCAACGTCTGGAGTCAAGCTTGTACTCCAGGTCCTTGTCAAAGACCTGAACATGTATGGAACATGAGCAGATGCTACGACACTGCTGAGGAGGCACTGAAGAAGAGGTCGATGAGGGTTTAGAAACGTGTCTTACCTGTTTTTGATGCGCAGTTGGACTGTCGAACATGGCTGGCTGTGATTGGACGGTTGAGTTTCTTGTTGTGGAGTTGAGGAGTACGACAGTGGGAACCGCGAGGAGACAGGAGAAGGAGGAGAAGGAAGACGAAGAACGGGTGAGCAGTTTGACGAAGTGACGAACTCCTCAACATATCCAGGATCAAAATCCCTGTGGAGAGAGAAAATACACAAATTATTCTTTAAAGAATACTTCAAAGGAAGAGTCCGCCATCTTTCATCTACAGTTTTACGTATCTGGACTTCATAAAACTTATCTGGTTTTATTTAATTTAAACTTCAAGTGGTCAAAAACATTAAAATATTAAAAGAAATCTGGGCCGAGCCCTGATCCAGCCCCTGTAGAACATCCTTCAGTGGGTTCCTGTTCATCCCTCATGGTTCTGGAAGAGTTCTGGCCCACGCTTCTTTCCATCGGTTGGTTTTTGCTCAGCTCTCTGAAGGTCCATCACAGGGTTTCAGTCAGGTTGAAGCTCTGGACTCTGCCTGGACCATTGCATCACCTTGGTTCTGTTCTGACCCGTTCTGTTGTAGATCAGCTGCTGTGTTTGGGATCATGGTCCTGTTGGACCCAGTTTGGTCCAAGCTTCAGCTGTTGGACTCCAGAACCCTTTGGTCTACAGAGGAGTTCTGGTCCACTCAGACTGACAGGAGCACAAACCATCAGCCTCCACCACTGTGCTGACAGCTGGGAGGTGCCATTTGCTGCAGTGCATTCTGGGTAATCATCTGTCCTCTGCTCTGGTTCTGGTCCAGAAGTCTTGTGGTTCTAAACTGCTGCATGTTGTTTTTAGAGGGAAGAGGTAGAGTCACTGCACGGTCTGACCTTTGGGGTGAATTTGCTTCCACTATTGGGAAGACTGGCATCTTACCTAAATGTTTCCACTCGTGAATAGTCTTGAAGCAACCTTTGACCCTTCCCAGATGGACGGACAGTTGTTTCGCTTAGATCATTGCTGTTGTCTTCCCACCTTGGCATGGCATTAACACACACAGCTGGGTTTCTGTTTAGTAATTAATAATAATAATAATTTAATAATAATTTTCTGAATTTGGCAAAAACCCAGATCAGTTTTGTTGTTTATAAAACCTGAGCTTCAAAACGGGACTTTCTTCTTCACGACTGAGGACCATTCATGTCACGTTTCCTTGAAAGTGCAGCTCCACGTTCTCTTGATCGCTGTTATTTTTCTAACCTCTCGTTCCAACAGCTCCAGCTCGGAGGCTAACCTACAAACAAATAACCCCCCAACTAAACGTCGGCTTCGTTCTGGTCCGACGGGTTCAAACAGGATGTTCTGCATGTCTGGTCTCTGTTTTCATGACAATGCATTCGCAGTTTAGACATCGATCCAACGCTGCTCATCACAACAGCCTACACAGCTAAAGGTCAGCTGTGGTGTGGACAGCAGCGAGGAGGTCAGAGGTCATCAGTCACTTTGACTCGGAGTCACCTCCATGTCCCTTTTGTGCTCCGAACAAAGAAAATGTCTTTGTGAATTACAAACCAGCAAACAGATTAACCTAAAGTATTTATTTAATTGATTATTTGAACTTGTTTTTATTTGGGATTATTATTTTTAAAGCCTCAGCGTCCGAATTCAAGCGAAAGTTGTTGTTTGTGTTGACACGTGATGAGCCTTCAGGCTGGAAGCAAACACCGAGACAGAACTCCCTCAACTCACGATGGACGGAACTTGGTCTGAACTTTCTGCTGTGATTCCTTCACTAGCTCTGATCAGTCTGCAGCTGACAAACACCCTAAAATGATGATACCACCACTGTGCCTCATCACAGGGATGATGATGAAATGCAGGATGTTCAACTTTCTGGTCTTCTAAAACACAAGTCGTCCTACGAAGAACAATTTTATTCCCAGAAGAACTTCTACTTGAACAGATGCTCATCAGTCAATAACACTGAAATAAGTTATTTGCGTTTACATTAATACTGGCAGGTGAACGACACCTGGAAGGGTGCAAGATGTTACCTGGCAATCCTACATTTTGTTCTAGATGTGGATCTGCTACAAGCACAACAAAAATGGGCAAAGTAAATGTTTGGGAACTTGATAATTGGACTGCAGCTGCTGTGACCTGCAGTCGTCAAGATCAACCAAAAGTTGTCCAGCTAGAACACCACTGTCGGCCTGTGTCCACGGGCCTATATCGGCCCTAATCGGCTCAATGCAGGTTCAGAGTCTATCCATTGGGTGATCTCACCTGCTTCAGTTCAGTTCTTAGAACCTTCTTGGTCATGGTTCCAAGCGAGTCGAGCCGAGCTGATGATTTATGGTCAGCAGACTGCAGACCATTGATTGGCCAGAGAGCGACTTCAACATATAAACAACATATAAACCAACGCCGTGGTACTATGAGGGGATGAACATGCTTGTTGGTTGACGACAGAATTCAGAGGAAGACCAAAAACAGAAAAATGGACTGAATTTCTGAGTTCTGCACCTCAGCTCAGCTGTGACAGTTTTAGAAACCATGGCAGACGCTGGTGAGTGTTCTGTGACTCTTTTTCATTTACCCATCGGTGGTAAACTCACTTTGGGCATGGATGTTTTGAAAGTAATATAGTTGTAGAGAAGCCTTGCTGTGACGATCCCACGCAGAGGTGGCACTCATATCGAAAGCCACCAAGACCACGTAGAACCGAGAGTCGAAGCCAGTTGTGGTGAGACTGGACAATGGAAAAACGTCACAAGATTCTTCACGTAGAATTTGCAGAGAAGCTGACGTATGAAAATATATTTGTAAATAATTCTGCACGAAAGACTGATGATCAAAATCTGCTGATTTATTCTGTCATTAGGAAAAACAAGTAGCAGGAGACAAGTTTTTCCATTGGTGAAACAATTTGTTGTGGCGTCAGAGTGAGATTTTAATATCTAATAAATCAGCGTATCATCAGCATAAAGTAATACATCAATATTCTAAAGGCATATAATTGCCTAAGAGTAAGCAACATTCAGATTAAACAAGAAATTACCCAAATGGACCTTTTTGATATACCACAGGGTCAGAATGAGGAAAGAAAGCTTCAGTATTTCTTTATGACAGTTTCAGTAGAGTACCAATGAGCTTGTCATACATTTAATAATGCTATACAGCCGCAAAAGAAATTGATAATCAAAAAGTGTTGTTTTCATTAAGATAAATAAAACACGGTCCAGTTTTAAACCAGTGTAACTTTTACTGGGTAGAATACACTATCAAATAAATCTGAATATCATCGGCGTAGAGTGAAATGTCAATATTTTAAAAAGACATAATATTGGCTAAGAGTTAGAATGTACAAAATAAATCTGGACTGTAAAAATGTAGCAGAGTTCAAAAGAGCAGAAAGAGCAAAAAATATTGATATAGAAACGAACCTGTCATATAAGACATAAACCTAACTGAAGTGGCACATCCAAAGTTAATGAATTCAAGGTAAGAAAGTTGTGCTCATCTGAACACAAGGATGGAGGAGAGTTGAAGCAGCAAGGAATAAAAACAAAGCAATATTTAAACCCAGATTTAGAAACATTGATGGTGCTGAACAACATAAACAGAACTACAACTAATGGAAAACCCCTAAAATATTGTGGAAAAAAATAAAGATAGGTTTGTAACAATACAAATAAAAATCATTTAAGAATCATATATATCAAATTAAACATAACACTCTACATAAAATCCCAGTGGTTTCTTCTCTCCACCCAGAAGAATCATACAAACCTAGAACACTTTGAAACAGGGCAACAAATACGTCCAACAATACAACAAAGAAACACCCACACCCAGATTATATCATTAAGAGAGGACATTCCACTGCTGGAGAGTTCATCCAGTCGACATCCTAACCTTAATCTGCACCACACACATAGGTGCAAAGATAAAAGGCCATTAAAGTGAAACCAGTCGAGCAGGTCGGAGGAATGTGCAGCGGCCACAAACAGCCCGAAATCACCAAAACAGGCGGGACCGTGTGTCACATTAGACTTTCCATCTCCTCACACAAAGCTCTCGTTAAACGTTTCACCTTTCACTGATGTCACCTGACGCTAACAGTTTTTAGGAGGCTAGTCTGAGTTGGACAGTAAATTTGTCTACTAAAGACCTAAAGATGCTTTCACTTGACGATGGCTCAGTATGACGTTTACGGTAAAATAACCACCTGGCAGAAAATAAAATAAATAAAAATAAGTTGCCAATAGAGCATCAAAATACAAATAAACGAATAATAAACAATAAAATTATGTATTTATCATAATGTCCAGCCTTGTGAGTTACAAAGCTTTCATCTACACTATGTGATTGGTCCACAATATGACCTTTGACCCCTGCTCTAGTCTGCTGATATTCTGCACTTTTGGTGTTAACTGATTCGTGTTTGCTGCAATAATTTCAAGTGACTAAACACCGAAAACAGCTAAAGCAGGAAGTAAAAAATATATTTATGACTTGCTGCTGTAAAAATTGGGCAATTGTGTTAAAGACGGTCTGTTTTTCTGCCTGTTAGCAAAATATCTAATGAAGTACTTAACAGATAAAATAATTTAAAAGAAATAATTAAATGCACACCCACAGCTCATCAACTTTAGCAAACACACAAATGAATATTTATATATATATATATATATATACTGATAGTTAAATATAAGCTAAAGATAAGCTAAATATAAGCTAAAATTTGATGCGGAAGTAGCTGAGTGTCATCCCGATCAGTCCTGTGAAATCTTGGTCGTCTTTTTGAGCAACCTTTAGTTTTTAGCTACCATTCAGCTTCTTTCAGTCTTCAGCTACTGTTTTGCTACTTTTTGCCATTAATCTGCAACTTTTAGCTAGCTTCTTGCTACCATTAGCTAGCATTTTACTACTTTTGGTTTTTCATACATTCAGCTTCTATCTTTTGAAGCAATTAGCTAGACTTGTGCTATGTTTAGCATTTAACCTTTAGGCTGTTTAAAACTATCCTTTTGCTGCTTTCAGATTTTAGCTACAGTTTTGCTAATTATGTTTTTAAGCTACCCGTCTACTGCTTCTAGTTTTTAACTACTGTTTTTCTACTTTTAGCTTATATTCTGGCACTTTCAGCCATCCGTCTAGTTTCTAGCTAGCCATTGCTATATTTAGCTAGCATTTTGCTAACATTTTGCTA